ACTTACAATTGAAACATTGATTATAGTTTTAGAACCAAGAAATTACTGTAGTTTGTGTGATTTTTGTAGCTCTTCTATATTCTTAATTAGAAACGAAATGTTTAACTTGGAAAGAGATCATTTTTGTTCTGAATTTCCCCCTTTTTTTCTTGTTTCAACGTCTTTTCTATACCTTCAATTCGTATTAAAACGTCACTTACTACGGCACGCAACATATATTCCTGACCAATTATAGTCCTTAATTCCTTTTTTTATGATATTTATACAATTTGTATAACATTGTGGAGTAGGTTTTTTTTCGCTTTCTGAAAATTTAGTTTAAATACAATAAAATCATTAATTTTGTGTACTAATTAATTATTTATCATAACTTTATCAATAATCACAACATTCGCTCAGTTGTTTTCTAATAGAACATCTTTGTTACTTTCCATTACGTTTTCATTATCCGTAATTATAGTGTCTGCAAAAATTGAAAAAAAATTATAATTAACATCCACCTCGTTTAGCATACGGGACGTATGCCTGGCATACTGTCATTATCACTTAAGTATAATTGTTTCCCTTTTATTCTTCATCTGTCATGTTTTCCAATTTCTGATTGTAAATCCAACGTTACTCTCATTTCCTTTGCTTTGGTTTTCGCAAAAATTAAGTTAATATCTATTAACTTCAATTGCGACGAAGATGTATGTCGCGGAAAATTTCACATAAGCTGCGAGCACGGTTTGCAATACTAAGCGCGCCAATCAGTGGTTGGCGTGTCACCAACCCCCCACCGGGAAGCCTGCGGTCAATCAGCCGTATTTAGCAGCCAAACCATAGTCGCGTCGCGCGTGTATAAATGCGAGCGCGACGCCACTCGAAAGCATTTCGCCAGGTGTCCAGCTGCGAGAAGCTTTTCGCTAGACATATTCTTGAAGGGCACTGCTACCACCGCTTCCATACGAGTTGTAGAAGCTTCTAGGTCCGCGGGCAGCTTAACATCCCGGGTCGGCGAGCGGTTCAACCAGACAAGGCCCACAGTACCCTCATCAACTCGCCCAGCCTGTCTGAGCGATTCGAGTAGCGAAGGCAGGGGTAAGCGGCTGAGTGGTGGGACGAAACACGGCTCGCTTGTAGTCGGCCGCGGAACAGCTGCTCCGTAGATCCCCGTCGACGTGTGTCGTCAGTCCCTTACCCCAGGAGCTGCTTCTAGCGAGGGCATTGTCGACGCGAAAGTTTTGACCACAACGTCTCTCGTCTAGGTACGACACGTCGGTGGACACTCGAGGCCCGCCGTCGAGCCGAACGTCGAGGGTTGCAACGGGAGCTCTCTCAACCAAGCGGCTACTGGAGAGAGTATCACTCACGGTCAGCCTTGGCAATCGTCGGAGCGAAAGGGGAGGCGCGAAACCGAGACGCAGAACATCGCGTCCATTTCTGGGCGAGAATTGGCGGAGTAAGAGGAACAAATGTGTATACGTCTCATTGTTCCTTCCTGTTTCCCTCCCGATCCGACGCGGACGATAGACTCTCGCTGGTGTAGCTGCTACCTCCAGATCCGCGAGCAGATGGATCCTCGTTCCTGTAAGTAGCCGATCCGCCTCAATTTGTATATTGGTAGCGATGGACGTAAAAGTGTTTGGAGGAAAAGAAACACAGAATTAGAACCGCGAAATCTACGACCGACTATAAAACATAATGATGGTTCTGTATTAGTTTGGGGCTGCGTGGCATCTAGTGGAGTGAGAAACCTTGTGTTCATCGATGGGATAATGGACGAAAAGAAATACTTAAAAATTTTGCAGGAAAATTTAAGAAGCAGTGTATCAAAATTGAATTTACCTAGCGATTATTGGTTTCAGTCTGACAATGATCCGAAGTATACCGCTAAAATAGTCAAAGAATGGGTATTATATAATGTTCCACACGTGGTGCCACATCCACCGCAAAGTCCCGATTTAAACCCCATTGAACATTTATGAGATGAAGTAGAAAAATGATTATGAAATAGGAGTATTACTTCGAAAGAAGTGTTAAAACGAAATATTATTGAAATATGGCAATCAATGGATGCAAATGTTACTTCTAAATTGGTCCACTCTATGGAAAACAGACTTAGGGCTGTCATAAAAGTAAAAGGTGGATGAACTTCCTATTAAAACCTTTAATCGTTCAATTTAAATATCTATTAATTGTTTCGTTCGAATACTTTTGTGAGCCATTTCTGGTATGTGTTTACAATCAATGTACTGTAAAAACGCTATATATTGTTGAATTATTTTCTAATTTTGCTTACGCAGTCTTAAGACCCATCCCTTGTTATATGTGTCATATTATATCAAATACTTCAGTTTAACACATATATTTTATTAATTGAATGTTAGAAACGTAAGCGTTCGAATACTTTCGTGTATGAGTGTATATTTTAAGGAAGTAAATAGACATTCAACGCTGCCCTATGCGCATAATAGAGAATTTTAATTTCTGTTTCAAAAATCAAATACAGTTACTCACGAAATTGAGCACACACTTTTTAAAACGCAATAATTTTTTTAAGACTACACAAAGTGACTTGAATTTTTGTTAGATGATAGACGGATTAGTTTATTAGACGATGACTATTGCTTTTTACTCTTTTTAGCTGAGTCCATAACCAAAATTTAAAAAATGCCTTTCGTAGATCTCGGTAATTTATATGCTTGCTGAAAATTTGATTGAAATCGGTTAACCTAGAGTCGAGAGGCAGGCATTGAAAGATTTAAAAATCTACAGATTTCTTCCAGTTTTGGTCAAAATTGTGATAAGATTATGATTTTTACTATCGTTAATTTGTTGTCTCTCATAACAACGTGAACCGATTTGAATAAACTTTTCAGCGAGCGTATAACTTACTGAGATCTACTTGAGGTATATTTTTAAATTTCCATTATAAGCTCATATAAAAAATTTAAAAAACGAGAGTTTTTTATTCTTTTTATCTTTCCAAGTAATAGTCGAATTCAAGAAAAACATTTTCGTCATTGTTTAATACACTAGTCTGGCTATAATTTAAAAAAAATTGAAACCACTTAGTCCACTTTTAAGCAAGTTATTGCGTTTTTAAAGGTGTATGGTCAATTTTGTGAGTAACTATATATTCTATCTATTCTATTCTATTCTATTTATATTCTATTTCGTTTTTATTCGTCGAACTTCAGAGCAAAAGATGTCGTATTCCTTTTTCGTCGTTATATGTATCTCTATCAACATTTTTGTGTAAATTCATTTAGATAAGTATTGCTTACGTGTAGTTCTAAATTTATACCATGTTTACCCATAACAATATGCTCACAATTATAGAGTTTGCATACAGACGTATCAGTCAAAGCAGCGAAAGGGGCGCACTGGCAGAACAAACGCATGGTGGTACATAACCCCTCAAGGAGTAGAAGCTGTCGTAGAGAATATGGTTGACAATCACACGTTGGCTAAAGCTGTATTGCGACTCAGATTCACTGGATAATACTGCAGTGTATTATTGGAGAATTATTATCGAAAGGAGATAGCGGATGCTACTGGAAAATTTGGTAGAATTAAAAATATGGGAAGATACAATGGACCAAATCTTGAATAGATGCAATGGACCGATAAGTAGGAATCTTTATGACAAGCTGTCATTGATAGTTGGAGTCACAATGGTGATTTATTATATCTATTCTTGAGCCCAGTGTTTAAGTAAAGAATTGGGCCAATTCACAAGAGAAAGAAAAGAATTGAGTCGAACCGGACGGTGATTGTGAGCTTTTTAAAAGATTCAAAGAGTTTTCAATGATAGCGGACACCGAGGAACAAAGTTCAGAGCAACTAGTGGAGTTTGACATTAGTAGTGGATGGCGGCGAACATGTAGAACACACGAGATTAGAACATCTGGTATATACCCAGTGGTCAGCACACGCGGGGAATGAAATATGATAAAGTGTCCTTACGGACGACTACTATTACTATGTATTGGTTAATGATAGCTATTCCGTCGTTGAATTAATGGTGAGAAAGAATGTGAGTGACATCTGAACAACAATTACATTCGATAAAGTGTGCTCCACCCGATATGTAATTTAAACAAACGCGCGAGTGGACCATACCTGTGCAATGCTATTTTGAGAAATAGACGTTGCTGTCCAAAAGTGAACGCGAGCAGTGCATTCTTTATCGCGACGCTAATTGATTTCATTCAGAATGGAAAACTCCCGTGCACTTTCATGTTTGTCCACGCAACACTGAATAGAAACGCGAGGGACCGTTGAATTTACAGTGGGAATCATCCTCTCTGCATACTGTTATAACTGTAATGCCACTTTAATTTCATCGAACGATTTCATTACGACTCCGAACAGGAGAATTATAATTATATTTTACATGCGGGGGAGGGGGGCATCAAAGTCAAAGGGGTAGATAAACGCGGACTTATCTCTCGCAACGCTAATCTATAAGATCTAGAGTTAAATCTCTCAACAGCAACGCGAGCAGTGTATCGATAATCTCGATGTTTATTTGTTCGATTCGAAATTGAAAGCTGCCGTGCACTTTGATCCGTTCCCACGAAACTCTAAAGGAATCGATCCATGGAACAGCTACTCGCAGTGCGGCATTAATTTTGCAAGTCTAACTCGCAACGGGATGATACTTTTCACGACGTTAAGATAATCGCATAGAAAAATTCTCGTAACTCTAATTCTTCGAGATAGCTTAGGAACGAGGTCCTTGGAATCCATCCCAGATTTCTACGCTACGCACCATCCACCTACCTGGACGTTGTAACGCCAGAGTGGATGCGTTCCTTTGTCGAGGTCGGTGGTACGATGGAGCCGGTATCGTTTCGGTTCGTTTCGAAAACCCTGATTCCCGCGCGTAAGCGTTCGCGATCGCGGAAGCTAAGAGAATTGACTTGACTTGAATCGAATCTTTTGAGCCGTACCGGTAGCTGACTATCGTGCGATACGCGGTTTACTCGAAAAGAGAACGATAGCCAGCCCTGGCCGTATCTAACAATTCACACACTCCACTAAAATATTTAGAGAATGGCAAAGCGATCACACATTCACCCACGGTCCTCAACCATATGTTGAGGTGCTTTTTCCTACATCCCGTGACGCCTCTATCATAATCATTCATTCTCACTCTAAGGTACACGTTAGTTCCTGAAATCGATTGACAATGGTAGCGATCATTGCGATTTAATTGAATTCCGATGAAAAGTGACTTTCACGGAGGAAATATTAATTGACTGGTAATACTAGTGGTTGTAGAATAAATACCATTTCGGTAGAGTTGAATTTCTCAGGATCTTTGCGAACTTTTATTAATCCGTTTCAATCGATAAGTATAGAAGACGAACATACTGTGCGTACAAACAGTGAACGAAATTTGTACAGGAACATTACGATTTACTGAAAAAGGTTAATCCATTCTATACACTTTCATTCATTATAAGTCGGAAACTTTAGTAATACTAAAATACGTTTACTGTGATGCGATGTTGTAAAGAAACTCCGGATTTTCACGTTCGTAAAAACCGATTCAAGAGAGAGGATATCTGCCGAGGTTATAAAATTTGCATAAAGACAGTAACGTTTATTTAGTACATTAGCATCAGTTACACGAGAAACATCGTTCATAATTCAGAGAATGTAAGTATTAGGAGTGTTCAATATTTTATTTTACAAGTAATTGAAAACAATTGCTGTTCTATCAGAATGCGACGAGAAAAATTCTATGTTCCGAACGGAAGAACGAATAGAAATAGATACGTATCATGATGTAGAACTCTAGAATTTTTCAACAA